AAAAAGTTCATATCAATTGAATGTATTTAGGTCAGACCAATGTATTTTCTTTATTTTTCTTACCATGAATAGAACATAGATTATTTTGATATATTTTTCTTTATTTTTCTTTATTTCTGAGAAATTGAGGCAGAAATATTTGTAAAGCAAAAAAAATATATTGGTTTGATCCTATTATTTCCAATGAATCAACATTTTTCTTCGAAAATTGTTAACATCTTGCTAAAATTGTTAACATCTTGCTTCAAAAATTGTTAACATCTTGCTTCAAAAATTTTTAACATCTTGCTTCAAAAATTGTTGACACCTTGCTTCAAAAATTGCTTAAATTGTTAACATCTTGCTTCAAAAATTTTTAACATCTTGCTTCAAAAATTGTTAACATCTTGCTTCAAAAATTTCATTTCACTGAAATTGTATGTGAGTAGACCTAGAGTAGGAGTCAGACAATGTCGAGGAAAATATAAACCAGTACTATTATAAAACTACACCAATTTTAACTTAATTTCCACCTAGATTGTGTCATTGTCTTTAAAAGATGATAATTTTCTATCTATTATTAGCTGAAGTCATTATATTGTAATTACATGTCTGTCTTTCCTTCCATTTCTTTTATTAGCTTTTATTTTTAATATTGCCACTTCAGTTCAAGTGAAATCAGCTTAAGGTGCAGGCACACAAGAGGTCTTGTTCTGAGATTTTTGTTGCAGATTAGAGTCTTGAGTAAAATCTCGTTTCCACGAAATGATCATCGCGTCTCTGACTGGGTGTATAATATCTTAATATAAGTTTGATAATTGTCTCATTTTTTATCGTCTGCAAGACAGACTGTCATCATCCAATCAGATTCATTTCTTTCAATTGCATGCTCCTCACTTGATTATCAACAAGGTGGAAAACGATTTACTGGAGATTTTTGTTTCCCCGTGTGCCTGTGCCTGTCGTGAGACACCAAAAAGACTCTGACCGTTTGTGTGCCAGCACCTTAAACTGTGATATGCTAGGAATAGAACACATACATGACTTTAGTGGAACAATTGGTAGTACAAAACACTCTTACAATTGTTAAAGTTGTGCATCATATGATACGCAAACTTCCTGTATGACATCATGGCCGATCTCTCCTATTTAAAGAATGAATAAATGCCCAGCCAATGAAATCGAGTCTGAAAAGCAATAAAAATGAATGAATGAATTGAGTATTAATTGAATCTCAAGGATGAATACTGAAGAATAGATATAATAGATGGCGTTATCGACACAAAACCTTATGGATGAATAATTACATAGAAAATACAATAGAAGGGAAAATTAATGATGGATGATTTGAATGGAATGAAAGGACGGACGAATTAACTGAAGGATGAATCTATGCATTAATCTTAAAGTAATAGATAGAAGAAAACAGCAATATAGAAAGAAGGAATGAATGATTCAATAATTGTCAGATTTGGAACGGATCAGAGGGAATGGATGGGATGGGATGGATGCATGCATGCATGCATTCATGGAGGGAGGGAGGGAGGGGATGGGGATGGGGAGATGGAGAGATGGGGATGGGATGATGGATGGATTCCAATGAAAGAATAAACAGAAAATTCAAACCGAATGACCATAGCTGTAGACAAAGAAAGAAAAAACAAATGAATGATAAAATTACATTATATAGACAGGTTTGGATCATTAAGAAAATATGAAAGAAGCAATAAACATAAAAGGATATATCAAAGAAACAGTAATGAAAAAATGAATGAATGATTGAACTACATTATACAGACAGATTTGGAACTGATCATTCAGAAAGAAAGAATGAATAAAGCAATAAATACCAAAGGATATATCACAGTAACAGTAGCAAAGATGGAATGAATGATTGAATAAATGATGTAGCCTACATTATTATTTACAGATTTTGAATGGATCACAGAGAATGAATGAATGATGTATTAAGCATATTAAAGAGAGAAACAGAATGAATGAATGATTGATTGAATAATTGTAGTACATTATTATTGACAGATTTTGAATGGATGAAGCAATAAACAGATCATTCCCTATGAAAAAAAAGTACAGTACTTAACTAAGACAAACAAAGACAAGATAGTAACAAGATTTGATTGAATAAAGAAATCTATTCTACTCTCTTTCAATTTTAGTAATGAGCTAATTAATTAGCTTAATCAATCTGACTTGATGTAATTTCTATTAATGTTTTATTTGACTTCCCTCTCTTTCATCATCTCAATGATAATCAAATGAAACTAGTCAAAACATGATTGACTGAATAAAAATACAAAATAATGAATGAAGGAATGAATGAAATTAAAGAAATAATTAGAAAATGAGTGAATGAAAGTAATTGGTAATTTAGATAATGTAAGAAATTCATTCAATCGTATATCTTCTGAACAATTAGTTAATGAAATAAATTTCTACCTCATAAACAAATCACTTGATCGAAGCTGTATAAATGAATGAATTAATGAATGAATGAAGTTATTGAATATATAGTTCGAAACTGAATGAATCATCATTTTATGAAACTGTAATTTGTATTGAATAATGAAATGAATTATGTCAATGAATGAAATTTAAGCTTAAAATGACATAAATTTTGTAAATAAATGAACAAATGAAAGACACCAATCCATTTGTAAATAAATGA